CTCGGCCTCCTGTTCCCGACCATCCGGTGTTCCTGTTCCCTGCACAGCCTCCTGTTCCAGCATTCCTGTTCCCCGCCCGGCTCTCTGCCTCGGACCTTGCCCCTCTTCGTGTGGACTCTGCTACACCCAAGGTACCTTACCCCCGGGACCAGCACAGTGTGCATGCGCAATCGTGTGATTACTCTTTCTGAGGAAGGGGAAGGAGAAGTAACCAGAGGGAGCCCACGAGGCTCTCTCAAAATCCCAAATGTGCACATCGGCCCCAACAGGAAATCCATTGATTGATAAACCTGTTGATTTCGGTTTGCTTGTTTTTCCTAATCTTAAGTACAGTTTGCCAGATTTCTGCAACTGAATTTTATTTTTAAGAAACAAAATGGTAAACCTCTTCATGAAAATTCTTCAGCATTTAAGTACACATTTCCCCTAAAAGATATATATTTTAGCAAGCAATCTACCCTGATGCTATACATTTTATACGTTTTTTAAAATGCATACTTTGCCCTAACATATGCATTTCTAAACACGTATACATTGGTTGGAGAACTGCAATTCTGAGAAGTGCAAATTTCTAATGACAGCTGCTTTGGGGTTCATGGATTGTTTCAGGCAGTGCCAATCTGGTAGGATGGCATTAAAATGTGAACAGACAGCACCCCTTGCTAGTCTATATTGTCTACTCTGACTGGCAGTAGCAATTCAGGGTCTCAGGCTTTTCCAACCTCCTGCTCTGTGAGCCTTTCAAGTGAAGAGCCAGGGATTGAACTGGGAGGTTCTGCAGTCAAAGCATGTGCTCTACCACTGAGCTATGGTGCTTGCCTTTATTTTCACAACTTGAATTTCAGTGCAGTGCTCACCATGTGTTTGTTAGTAAATTCTGCTTCCAGGGCCTGCGTTCTCCCTTTCCCCTTCTCACACCTGTTTTTGTCATAAGACTCTGAATTCCCAAACACCGCCGCCCCTGCCAGTTGCCTCATATCACATTGAGAATGAATTATGCATGGCATAAATCAGTGCTAATTCCGCCATTTGAATAATTTATTCCTAGTGGCATATTTGCTTCTCCTCTGTGCCAGATTTGGATGCAAAGAGCATCCAGACTTGATTAAAGTTTGCAGTCAATGCAATTGTGGATGAAGCTTTGCCTCTGCCAAAAAAAAGGGGGGGAGCACATCTTTTTGAAATCCCCGCAGTAACGAGCGTGATTAAAACCAGGTCTTTTTAGAAATGATTTTTAAGCAACGATAAGAAGCTATTGCAACTGCTGCGGCAGATCTCAGGAGACACACATTACCTGAACTACGTTTGCTAGAAAGTAGCAACTTGATAACAAGAGTTATGCTTTGGTTTTGGGGATTCCTGCTCTTTCCTTGGGGTTTTTCCTTAGATAGCTCAGCTGCCAATCTTACTAAGGGCAGTAAATCTGTCTGCCTCTTTCAGTCTGCCAAAGCATGACAGAGTAAACAGGCAAGAGTCTCTGCTATTGACTGTGTGAGTAGAGAACACAGAACTCCTCCTTGAAAGACTTGGGTTTGTTTACCAGGGATCCTTTTTCCACTGGGAAGGGGGTGGGGAGGGGTGAGGGTGAAAAGAATGAGCAGGAATGATAAATTGCAGGCAGGAGCTTTTCCCGTCTTTTAAGAGTGAATCCCTACTGTTGGAGAAATGTAGCCTTCCAATCCTTATCTCCTCCACCATCACTCCTTTTACAACAAGTAAGGATGCTTCCCTTCGCCTCTTGCCTGTGGAGCCCTCCAGAGGCCTCTGGCTGCACCTCCCGAGACAGAATGCTGGTCTTGATGGACCTTTGGTTGGGTCCAAGAAGGCATGTACAGTGGTACCTCGGGTTAAGAACTTAATTCGTTCTGGAGGTCCGTGCTTAACCTGAAACTGTTCTTAACCTGAAGCACCACTTTAGCTAATGGGGCCTCCCGCTGCTGCCGTGCCACTGCCGCACAATTTCTGTTCTCATCCTGAAGCAAAGTTCTTAACCCGAGGTACTATTTCTGGGTTAGCGGAGTCTGTAATCTGAAGCGTCTATAACCCGAGGTACCACTGTATTGTGTGGTCATGCACTGAAAAGAGGTTCAGGAGACTACGAAGTGTGGGGCATCCAGTGACTCTACCATCTCACCATTGCATCACAATGAGATGACATCATCCTAGTATATAGGTTACTCAAGCTAGTTAGCAGGCGAAATCCAAGTGGCACTCACCTTTAGGGTGGCCATCTGTATCATCCGGAAGAGGAAGCACACCATTAAAACCAAGTGCACAAAATTTGCATGCGCTCATGTGTATGTGTAGATGCTGATTTAGAAACAATTACTATAATTTAGATAGTGTGGCTGCTCCACAAACTTTGGAACTCCCTGCATATTGACACCAGGCAGGCACCTTCACTACTCTTTTTGCACCTGCTAAAAACATGTTTGTTTAGCCATGCCTACCTAGATATGTAAGGGGCGCGGGTGGCGCTGTGAGTTAAACCACAGAGCCTAGGACTTGCTGATCAGAAGGTTGGCGGTTCGAATCCCCGCGACGGGGTAAGCTCCCATTGCTCGGTCCCTGCTCCTGCCAACCTAGCAGTTCGAAAGCACGTCGAAGTGCAAGTAGATAAATAGGTACCACTCCGGCGGGAAGGTAAACGGCGTTTCCGTGCGCTGCTCTGGTTCGCCAGAAGTGGCTTAGTCATGCTGGCCACATGACCCGGAAGCTGTACGCCGGCTCTCTCGGCCAATAAAGCGAGATGAGCGCCACAACCCCAGAGTCGGCCATGACTGGACCCTTTACCTTTCCCTTACCTAGATATGTAGCATTTTTTAGCATCTGTTTTCATTTGGTTTCTCACTTATTGTTGGCTTTAATTATTTTTTGAAGGCTTTAAATAGTTGTCTTAATAAAATATCATTTTGTCGCTTAATTTTGTGCTTCTCGTTCCACGCAAAGTTAAAATGAGTTATTTAAAGACCCTCTTTC